CCTCTGGAGTATCAAAATGTTTATAAATGAAGAAAAACTAGGGGCTCAAAATTTTGCCGATCACTATACTTTTCCTGTTATATTCTATAAAATCCGGGAAAGGAAAATCTATAATGTTTGTTCATTTAAATCATAAGAAAATCAGAGTTTTTATTGTATTTCAGTGTACTGTACATTTATAAATGAAATAAATTAAAATAACTCTACACCCTTTCAAATAATTTTATTTGACGTGATACATTTATTACTATTAATATAGCCTTTTCTCAGTTACTTATAACTCTTCGTTATCCAATTTATTTACCTTCGAAAAGGGGTTTTTCTCCGTACATCTGTTTAAATCAATACAACTGCTTCAAAACATCCAACATTTATTGATATTTAAACCATAATACGTATCAATAAATATATTTTTAAAAATTTAATTTTTTACTAGTTTAGTGTATCCAAGATGATGTAGTCTAGTACTATAGTACTAAAGTACATATTGTACTTTATGACACATTTTGTTACAATTAATATACAGATTGCGAAGAAATAGGCCTTATCTACTGATTTTACACAGATTGAAACGTGCTTTTATTAATTTTATTAACCTTGATGAACGTATTAATAGCTGTGTGTGTATACCTGAATATTTAGAAGACACAATCATGAGTGTCAATTCTATAAAAACCGTTTTAGAACTAGATGAAGAGTGCAAAGCGAACAAAAACTTCCAAATTATTTTACAATATAAATGCAGAATACTCGTGAAAATAGTCGAATATTAGTCAAAAGGCAATCTCTATTATATTAATAATAATAAAAAAGAAAACTATTCATTTCAATGAATTGATGTATAAAAGTGAATTCACTGAATTTATGTAGCGCTAGTAAAGGTGCGCGATTTACGGATTATGTGAACGCTCTTATAATGAAGTTAACTGACAGAATAGAATAAATGCTAATTCCACTCAATTCTTATAAAACGAGGCTTATAAAACGAGGAAAATTAAAACTTGCTATAATTTTTCCCACGATTGTTAAAATTGTAAAGGATATGATTTTATCTCTCTGTGGAGTATTTTATCTCTCTTATCTTTCAAGATGAGATATTGAATGCGTCACCAGGAACTTGGCGACGAGAATTTGCTATTGGACATAGACATTGCAACATTGTCAAAAAAAGGGCAATGGAGAAAAGCGGAAAGACCCCAATAAAAGGCAATGACTGATGACGGCAGGGAGTTCGTTCGTCTGACCGAGGAGTCCGGGATCATCGAAAGTTCGCTCTCACCGGAGTTGCCCAAGCGCTCGGATACTTTATCTATCTAAGTGACTTTCCTCTCTCCAACGACTTATCCATCAATGCATCATTCCTCTATCAATCCGTTAAGTCGTGAAATCCATCAATCCGTCGTATCGACAACGCATCCTCAGATCCTTTACCAGGTATCTATGTAAACGCTATGCCAACTCTCTCTCTCTCCAACTTATAACTCGCGAATTAGTTAACAGTGGGGACAAAGCTTTAATACAAAATATTAACCTTAAGAAAATAAGTAACGGATAACCATAATTTCTTGTATAACTTGTAAATAGCTTAATAAACAGATATTTGTTATTGTTAGAATTGTGTATGGGGCACTTCCTTAATCCGTGCCATCTATCGTGTCGCCTCCATCCCGGATCCAATACGCTACCACTCGAGCAAAAACGAAATTAGCGGCCATCAAGGTTTCTGTGTCTGTCCTGAAAGGTGGTATCAGTCCTGACGAACTGGCCATCGCAAATGCGGTGTTGACCCTTCGGTTCCGTGGTACCGAAGCATAGGGGGCACCACGCCATCTTCGCGCATTGTCACAGTATGATTAATAATAGAAAAGCTACTTTTTAAATAAAATCTTTTAATAGCCGGGAAAGTTACGCAACTTGTGCTGGATTTTTCATTATTAGTATGCTTAAATAACTGAATAAAAAATAATGTATACCAAATTTTAGTTCTCACGAATATTCGCTGAATTCACTTAACGAAACGAGTTTAAAATAACTGGACTTCGTGAAACTCAAAAAACCATCTCAAAAACATCATTGTATTTAAATATTTTGTGTGAAACTCGCTAATCGGCTGATTAATTGAGTCATAAGATACCTCGCTCTATATCTGTACAGCTTGGGAGAATTTACCTTACACGGAAGATTTTTGATAACTGAATAGACACGATTACTTTTATCTGTCACAAGATCACTACAACGTCGTTATATTTCTTTAAATAAATGAATAATTTTAAAGTTAGGCGCAAAAATAGTATAAAATAATACCTTTTTCTGCTTTATATCTGAAATGAACGATATGTTTGTTTATTTTTTAAGTAATACACAGTAAAAATTTAAATAGCACAATTTAGAGAGCAAATTTATAAAATTTTTAATAATACTTTATTATTATGTTTGATATTTCACGCATCAATTATTTGCTTTTCCTATTGTTTGTTGATGACACAATGATAAACATATAGATGATGATATTTTGGATGAAAGGTCTTGATTCTCATACGTTCGTAATGGTTCTGATTTGAATTTAGATCTCAGACCGAATTCAAATCAAAAGCATTAAAAATGTAAAAGAAGTTTGAGATAGACAGGTTTTGAATAATAGAGGTTTTCACACAATAAACTGTAATAGGTTTTACTGGAGGTATGGTATTTTATTAATACAATAACAAGTACCGTACATAGCTGAAATAGGTATAAATAAAACATTTTTGAGATATCTTAACAGAATAAGTATGTCAATAGTTTCTACTATCTAATTTTTTTTTCAAGCAATAAGACGCAAGCCAAACTCGTAGCCGATTGGAGGAAAGCAGCGTTAATCGCAACTATGTACTGTACTGTATTCAAGAGATGTTTCTCAACTACAATTTATTCTATCAAAATGTAGTCGCTGAGTTTTGAATTTGTAATTGATACTTCAGTCCATAATTTGACATATGGAGATTTTGAGAGAAAATTATTTGAGATAAACATAAAAAATATATTGAATTTAGGCTGAAATGCAGGGGAAAAATAAATTTTGAGATAAACATGCTTCAGTTAGATAGGTTCAACTGTATTCCCAATGTATTCCTCAAACAATAACAAAACGTACAGTTTGAATATGAAAATAGATAAATTATAAAATGTTTACATACTGGGTAGTTTTAATTAAAGTATCCCTATTCAACGCGTCTAGAGAGATATTTAGCAGTTCAAATGAAACTAAATTTGGCATGACGACATTTCGGGACATGCGGAAAATATTCCCGTAAAAGAAATAAAGTACCAACATCTACCACTACGACACTTTTGGCAGACAACAAACATGTAATCTGTACAAAACATTCATGCTATTTAGAGAGTTAGCGATGCAAGAGATATACTTAATGTGGTTTCCAGTCCCAATGTATGAAACCCTAAGACTATAAACAGTGTGTTCGATGGCGACCATAATTAATGTTCTGTGATAATTCTCACACGCAGTATATTAAACTTTAAAAAATTTACAAATAAAATTTTCATTGGACGAACTGTAAAAGTGTCCTCTTTCGTTATCCCTGCGAAAATCATCAGGAAATAACAATTTTACGGCGGTATTTAGAGGCTATTCCCCCCTCAACATGCAAAACGTTTAAAAGTTTTCTCTGGCGGCGGCATAACTTATAAAAATTATACATTTAATAAAAGAATTTTTAGCCGGAACATAAGTAAAAACTTTGAAGAAATGAAAATTTCATTTGTAAAATTTTTCAAAGTTTAAACCTACCCCCCGGTAAAAAGCTTTTTAATTAAATGTATAATATATTATTTTTCGTTGTTGCCAAATGTCTGTAATCTGTATTTGATAAACACTTTTTAACAGTCCTGACAAAATCCGGAGAACGAGATAGACAAGCAGTAGAAACGCGTAATTAGCACTACTGGAGCCTGTAACAATATTCATTGGCGGTGCAACAACTAGTTTGAGCGAATTAAACTCTCAAATGTCCAGTTTCCTCAAATTGAACGATCATAATATTGAGAGCCTTTTTTTAAAACTCCGCCATGTGGGCACTAACAGGGACTCTTTCAGCAAGCCCATTATGGATTCGGCCAGGCCCACAATGGGGCAGCCGGGTGGTTAGGAACGGGGTCCGACATATACGGACGGACTACCCCCGAAAAATTCCTAAGGATTCTTCGACCCGTCCGGATTCTATCCCGAGTCTCTCAGAGCGGTAGGCTACTACAGTAATACCTCGACTTACGCACCCCGACTTACGCGAACCCGGAGTTACGCGATTTTCAAATCTCGTCGATTCGTCTTTTGTTTTAGCGCCACGCAACTTTCGATTACTCACTCCCCCACACTATTGTTCGGCTTACATGTTCGGACGTGTAGCGCGGAATCGACACATAGCTACAATTTATTTTGTGTTATTTATTTCTGTGTTCGTTATATCTACGGAGACTCGAGAGACTCTATGTGGTGATTTCTTGTAACCGTGAACGAATCAAAAGACGAGATAAAATTAACGAGAACATTTATTAGCTTACATACGTCCGACTTGGATTTTATACAAATTGCGAAATTATACCCCGACTTACGCGGTTATCTCTCGGTCCCACCTATCGCGTAAGTTCGGGGTATTACTGTACCTTGACCGCTCGGCCATCCGGCCGTCGCAATAATATGGCTGTAATCTATTAGCAAACATTTCTATGCAGTTTATTGAGAGTCTCGTGAGAGCATTCACTGTAATTCTTACTTTAAGAAAATATAGCAGAAGAAAATTATGAACTGAATGAACTGAAATTGAAATACTGTATATAAAAAATAAAAAGTTTATATTTATAAATTTAATAATAATAATTACATTATTATTTTCAAAATTATTAAAATATTTTTATTCTTTACATGAAAAAATATACAGCAGAAATATTTAGTCACAAAATAAAGTTTTTGAATTTTGTTTTTTTTTAAGATGTAAATTTTATTAACTGGCAACACTTTCACGTGATATGTATTCATTTGATCACTGATATTTGTGTTTAAATTTCAAAAAAATGCCTAAATTCAATAAAAATCAGAAATGTACGGTAAAAACTGATCAAAAGCCAAGAAATAATAGGTAAGTAAATGTTTATAACAAAACCAAAGTGAAAATTGAAATTCTGATCGATCAAATCCAAATATTGTACATTGTGGGTAGTTATAAATCGAGGTACACATTTAGAAAGTGATGTTCGACAGAAATTACGATAAAACTCAGTTTCATCTTGTTAATATACTTTATATTGAGATTCGGTACTTCAAAATTAGGCATTCTTAAGCTAGGCTGACCATAACGGCACAATTCTAGGACAAATGTAGCAAATTGGGACTTTGACAGAGCTGTAGAGCATATCGATAGGAACAAAAAAGTCAAACGAACCATGGCCGTACGGGCGACCCTTCGCGAGATATAGGCCCCCCAAAAATGCTTCTAATTAGGCAACGCTTTCTCTGCCGCCACTGCTCTATACCGAGCGCGCTTCTATTTCCCTATCTCTAACACATTGTAACTGACGACGGAAAAGGCCAACAAAACAGATTCTACACTCACCTTCGGCAGAGTCTCCTCCTCTCGCTACCCGACGACGACTGGCCCGTTTCCGATCTTGTTTAGGCGAGGACGGGGTAAGACCGCCGGTCACCGCTGCCGCTTCCTCCTCCTCGGCTATGTCCAGGAGGTCGACGACGACGAAGATGGGATCGCCCGATGTTTTTCGAACAATCGCATATAATCCAGGGTTTGCGTACAAGTATCCTTCGGTAATTAATTGGTAATAATCATGTTAATTTATTAGAATAGGTTAGGTTAGGTTAGAATGTGCGTCCCCACTGAACTGGCGTCCTCTTAACCCATAAGTACCCAAATATCGAATATTTACTGGAATATCACAACCAGAGCCGTAACTAGGCAGGTGCAACAGGTGCACCCGCACAAGGCCCACTTGGAAGGGGGGGCCCAAACTGCTGTTCACAAGAAATTATATTTTTAAATTTTTCCGCCTTTCTACAGCGCGGTTTGGAGATTACATTTCGCCTTAGTTAGACCCTAGATGTCTGCTCACCAGTGTTCCCAACTGTGGCAACTTTTAGAGGGACGTAGTGAGGTAGCGGAAACCTCAGACAAATCAGCCAAAAGTAGCGACTTTTGATATTTTTTAATTTATTTTTTGAGAATTTTAAATTTATGTTTATAGTTTTCAAATTTACAGATTTATCTCTACAGAGCTTTCTTACTAATATTATTACGGTATACAAAACTGTATTTCTAGATTTTTCTAATATGTAGAGCTAGAAATCTGTAAAGGTAACGTTTTGTAACAAAAATAAATCTGCTCGAGGATTTTTTTTTTTAAATTACTAAATTGAAAACGGTAACTCCCGAATAAAATCTTAGTCTCGAGGTTGTAAAAGGCGTGCAGAAATTCTGACATCAATTTTTGCTCTATAGTGCTACGCATATGTGGTGTATACCTGAACGGCGGATTAAGCGGTAAGTGAACTATGNAAAATTCTTTACAGCACATGAACGATCGAATAGAGCAGGGGTCACCAAACTACGGCACGCGGGCCAGATCCAGCCCGCCGCCGCACTGTGCCACAAATGAGCTAAAATATAATTATTTATATGGAGATATCATAGATTGTAGATGAACTTACTATGTAGAAATAATTAAAATAAATGTAAGTAAAAATGCCAAAATTGGTCCAATCTGATTTTTGCATCTGACAGTAATATAATTTTTAGGAAAATCAGTAAAATGAAGATTTCGGCTTTTTGCGACTTTGAAAATCAGAGCGCTTTTTGTGTAAGTATCTGCAATGAAGTTTCTAAAAAAAAGCGATTACAAGCTTGCTGCAGCGATCGTTTTTGTTTATTCGTAAATAAATATGTTGGTTGTCTTTATTTTTTGTGTATTTAATGTGCTGTATTGAACAAAATGGTTATTGGGCCCGAGGTCGTCATTCTCTCAGTTATCTGGTCCACTGTGAATAAAGTTTGGTGACCCCTGGAACAGAGAATAATGATCAACTTTAAATTAATAACTTGTAATTTTTATCTTTTCAGAGAACAATCGCAAAGCTTTCTATTCAATCAGTGGATTCTAAATGTTTCATTAGCTTTCTATGCCTACTCAAAATTGCAATTCTCTGCTGTTTCGATTCTAAAGCAATGGTCACACCTAGTGATTTCCAGCCACGCAGGCAACTCCAACTGCAACGAGTACGAGTTGCACGCATCTTGTCGCGGTCACATTGTTCCTTGGCGTTGCAACTCGGAAACACGTGACCTTATAATAAACCAACATCCACTTCGTCTGCTATATTTCTTTCTTTAATGCGAAGAAATATAGTTAGCATATAATGGCACTTTCTACTTAGTTCTTTAGCTATATTTAAAATAATATTGTCGTTACTAAATTAAAAACAATCGACATTTTATATCCAGAGATCTAAAAATGATACTTGCGAGACTTTCGCCATCCCTATGGATGGCGAGAGATAAGCGAATTAATTAAGATTATGAATTAAAACTCCACAGGCATTCGTGAGCCCGATTAAGCTTGATCAACCTCGATTCTAATTCTGTACCAGTCGATATTTTCACTTTCTACCATGATGATAACCACTTTCAAAGTTGCCACCGTATGATGTAGCACAAAGGCTTTTGCTGATTGGATGTGCATTTGCAATCGGCGCGAATAGAACAAACTTTTTGTTCCTAGTTGCGGTTGCAGTCGCGCCGGTTTTCGAAGGGAGCTTACCAATTAAGGAGAACGGCCGTCACGGTTGTAGTTGCCTGCGCGGCTGGAAATCGCAAGGTAAGGATCTGCTCTTCCGTGTCCGGCAGGTACAAGGATAGTTTTTTTTTTTTACTCTTTCCGCCCTGTGGGTTCCAAGAGGGCCTTTTTTTGCAAGCCCATTATGGGTTCAGCCAGGCCCACAATGGGGCTGCCGGGTGATGAGGGACGGGGCCCGACATATCCGAACGGACCACCCCCCGAAAAATTCCTGGGGATTTTTCGACCCGTTCGGATCGAACCCGGGTCCCCCAGAGCGGTAGGCTGCCACCTTGACCGCTCGGCCATCCGACCCGGTACAAGAATAGTAGAGAGGTTGTGGTCGATGTTTTCATCGCGAAAACATGAACGTCGGACGTTCGGGCCGCCTTCCTGTAAGCATAGAAGACTGACAATGGCGTTTGGAACGTCAGTGGAATCATGCTCGACGTTCCAAACGCCATTGTCAAACTTTTAGGCTTACAGGAAGGCGGCGCTGAACGTCCGACGTTTACGTTTTCGCGATGAAAACGTCGGCCGCAACCTCTCTAGTCTCTTTTATGGCGGCAAGCGCAACTTACGCCTATCCTTATCCGTCAGGTACAAGCATAGCCTCTTCTGTTCCTAACAAAGACCTAAAAAAATATTTTACAATATTCACGTTAATTTGTTTAACTTTAAATTATTTGAGTTAATTAAATTTACAAACTCAAATACTGTATTATTATCTTTTTTACTGTATTTTAATTTGGTTGGATTTACTTAAACGTAAAATATAAAATATTCGATAATTTAAAATTTAAGTTTTAGTTTACTACAATAAATTTTAAAAATTATTTGACAATTTTTATATTCTTCAAATATTATATGATAAAAGTATAGCGAATTTATATTAGTATGCAATAGAGTCGTGCCGGTCATCTATCTAACATCTTTCTGGGAAAAGTTTTGAATTAAAATAACATGACTTTCGGTTCGTATTGGACATTCATATATACTTAATCGGGGCCTTCCGTACCCAAGCTTTCCGTATTTGGTCTTGATTTTCATATATCTAACNAGGAAAATCAGTAAAATGAAGATTTCGGCTTTTTGCGACTTTGAAAATCAGAGCGCTTTTTGTGTAAGTACCTGCAATTGTTTCTAAAAAAAAAAGCGATTACGAGCTTGCTGCAGCGATCGTTTTTGTTTATTGGTAAATAAATATGTTGGTTGTCTTTATTTTTTGTGTATTTAATGTGCTGCATTGAACAAAATGGTTATTAGGCCCGCGGTCGTCATTCTCTCAGTTATCTGGCCCGCTGTGAAAAAAGTTTGGTGACCTCTGGAACAGAGAATAATGATCAACTTTAAATTAATAACTTGTAATTTTTATCTTTTCAGAGAACAATCGCAAAGCTTTCTATTCAATCAGTGGATTCTAAATGTTTCATTAGCTTTCTATGTCTACTCAAAATTGCAATTCTCTGCTGTTTCGATTCTAAAGCAATGGCCACACCTAGTGATTTTCAGCCACGCAAGCAACTCCAACTGCAACGAGTACGAGTTGCACGCATCTTGTCGTGGTCACATTGTTCCTTGGCGTTGCAACTCGGAAACACGTGACCTTATAATAAACCAACATCGATTTCGTCTGCTATATTTTTTTCTTTAATGCGAAGGAATATAGTTAGCAAATAATGGTACTTTTTATTTAGTTCTTTAGCTATATTTAAAATAATATTGTCGTTACTAAACTAAAAACAATCGACATTTTATATACAGAGTTCTAAAAATGATACTTGCGAGACTTTCGCTTATCTCTCGCCATCCCTGTGAGATAAGCGAATTAATTAAAATTATGGATTAAAACTCCACAGGCATTCGTGAGCCCGATTAAGCTTAATGAACCTCGATTCTAATTTTGTACCAGTCGATATTTTCACTTTCTGCCATGATGATAACTACTTTCAAAGTTGCCACCGTATGATGTAGCACAAAGGCTTTTGCTGATTGGATGTGCGTTTGCAATCGGCGCGAGTAGAACAAACTTTTTGTTCCTAGTTGTGATTGCAGTCGCGAACAGCCGTCAAGGTTGTAGTTGCCTGCGCGGCTGGAAATCGCAAGGTAAGGATCTGCTCTTCCGTGGCCGGAAGGCACAAGGATAGTTTTTTTTTACTCTTTCTGCCCTGTGGGCATCAAGAGGGCCTTTTTTTGCAAGCCCATTATGGGTTCGGCTAGGCCCACAATGGTGCTGCCGGGTGGTGAGGGACGGGGCCCGACATATCCGAACGGACCACCCCCCGAAAAATTCCTGGGG